TTAAATGTCCCAATTCACAAAAAGTTATAATTAATGACTTCTCTACTGTAAGAATAAAGACCAATGCATGCAGTGCCTCACGTAACCGCAAAACGAACACGTTAAGTGACCGTGAAGAAGCATGCTTTTCATGTGCATGGAATGTATAAAATACATTTGCATATTAATACAGAGGAGTCGGAGTCGGGGAGTCGGAGTCAGAAGTACAAAAAACTGAGGAGTCGGAGTCGGAACATTTATCTACCGACTCCACAGCCCTGGAAACTGAGAGGAACCTAAGGGGCAGTGGAAGGGGAGATGCAAAAGAAGCATGGGTGCGATTATTCTTACTTAATTAACAGAATGGGCTACCATCCTGCTATTACTTTTTCCTGCACCGAGGTGTCCTTTTTTCGCCCAAAGCCATCTCTCTGTACTGAGGCACTGAGAGTGAGGTGGGCAGCATATAAATTTAATAACTGAATAAATAAAATACAGTCTGCGATCTTGTCATCTTAAGCCTCCTTATCTTTGAAATCATAGAGAATATTTGTAGCCCGGGGGATGGATGTTGGTGGTGGTTTGTTCTCCGAGCTTGCCTTTTAGCTTCCGAACATTTCATCACGAGGTGACATACTCAGCGGGACTTTAGTTGAAGCACCGAAGTCCCATTGAGGGCATCCCCTAGCCTGGTGATGTAACATTTGGACGCTAAACACCAAGCTTGGAGAACGAGCCACCACCGACCTCCTTATCTTCAAATGACTTGCATCCAAGTAGATATCTGTATGGGATCGCAAGCCATTAAGATAGGCTTCTTCAACGTGGAGCCCTCCATCTATGGCAGGGGTCCCCAACCCATTGGACACCAGGGACCGGTTCCGTGGAGAGAGGTTTTTCCTTGGACCGGAGGGGGTGTGGTTTTGTGTGCTGCCTGCATCCCGCGGATGGGGCTTTGCTTGTTTGTGCGGACCGGTTGCTGGCATGCCGCAGCCCAGTACCAGTCCATGGACCGGGGGTTGGGGACCCCTGATCTATGGGATCGAAGCTTCCAGAATTCCTGACATGCTGAGAATTCTGGGAGTTGTAGTCTCAAAACATCTGGAGCTCCCAGGATAGGGAAGTGCGCATTAGGGTGTCCCGCACACAAGCGAAGCGAAGCTGTTCGAGAGACCACTGACCCGTCATGGAGTTTTCAGATGTGCAGAGCTGCTCCCTCAGCTTTTCCACGTCATCCGGGTGAACCTGCTCGTAGAGGGTGCTGCCAAACCATTCGGACTGGGGCTGGTTCAGGACGGGCGTCACCGAGTCCGAGACGTAGATCACTCGGCCTGTTTCAGCAGCCACCACAAAGAGAAAGCCATCAGCCGCCTCAAGGATGAGGTGCTTCAATTCCTTGAGAGAAGGAAGGCAAGCGTGTAAGAAAGCAGACTCCCTACTGCTAAAGCCCTTTGTGGACAGGACGTCTTGTGCTATCATTATTATTTTACAACACTTACCATTTTTTGCTTGCACGCTCCTCTCCTTTTGTTTTGGAATACATGCCTTAAAATTACAGGGGTCCCTGCATCTGAGTATTATTCATTGTATTTTGCCCCACTTCTTTGTGACGCTTCTTCAGTAATTTTTTTGATTACGTTTTGACATTTACTAAGCAATTAACTGCCATGCTTGTTTGGCTGTCGTTCTTGCTATACCATGCAGAGCATTCTGGGTAAATAAAATAGATGCCATATTTTGGCTGGAGGGGGAAAAAAAACCGAACTGTCTTACCACCGTTCCCTTCTCCAAAAGATACGTCCCCATTTTTGCCTCTGAGCTTTAATTATAGAAGAAATTTACACGGATCAATGCATTAGTACAATCTAGTGTGCACAGAACACTCTTTGCAAACATTTAAAGTGCTTTGAATACAACTGCACTGTATTCCAGCTGTTACTTCAGCAGCCCCAGACCTTCCTGGATATGGTCGATGACTTTCATTCTTTTTCTCCTGGAGTCTTGAGTTTGAGAAAGGGCAGGCAAGTTTGGGTGTGAGGTTCAGCAGAAGGATCACACAGCACACACATGGCCAACTCCTCTTTTAGTTACCTTCTCGCCCCACACACCACCCAATCACAGCCGTGTTCCTGTTCCAAATTAACTATGATTTGTTGCCCATTTCTTATTTCTCTCAACTTTAGCAAACACAGATCATTACTTCTCTCACATCATGTTGTCTTTTCCTACTCTCTGGAATATATATATACTGTATATACAATGCCCAGCCAAAATAAAATATCAAATCAGGGTGAAGGCACAGGCTGGATGCCTACAACCCAATGAATCATAAACGACTCAAGTCTCTTTTTACACTAAGGTAGCATGCGGTATGGACCGCAAACAATTTATGTGTGTGTGTATATGTGTATACAGCAAAACCAAAAGTTAATTATCCATAAATACTTTTATTTCAAATATAACAAAAAGACAGTAAGTGTCAATGGAAAGCATCATGACAGAAATGTCAGTTATTTAGCTTCAAGGCCATTAAGCACAAGGCAAAGAGAATGGACTCAATGGAGAAGAGCCTGATGCTGGGAAAGATGGAGGGCAAGAGAAGAAGGGGACGACAGAGAAGGAGGTGGCTGGGTGGAGTCACTGAAGCAGGAGGCGTGAGCTTAAATGGACTCCAGAAGATGGTAGAGGACAGGAAGGCCTGGAGGAACGTTGTCCATGGGGTCACAATGGGTCGGACATGACTTCGCAACTAACAACAACAAAGAGAATGGGAAAGGTGGAGGAAACCAACAAGCCACGGTTATAAGGGTGAAGTGCACCCACTTTTTGACAGAGGGCAATCAACAATTCAGTGTGACTTTATTCTAGCTCGCCATAAAAATTCTTACCTAGCCACATTATGTCACGTGCCTAGGAGCTTTCAGCAAAGTTCATGCTTAGCAGTCAAGTGAAGCCATGTCTGGGGGTAGAACTGAGATTTACACTTCCCTGCCTGGGTTCAAGTAGCCTGAGAACACATTTGTTCTAGCTCCGTCCAGAGCAACTGAAGGCCCAACATAAGGCAAAGACTGGAAGAGCATCTCAGACAGCAGCTACCGGTTTGGGTTGCCATGAGGCTGACAGTTGTAGAGCAGACAGTGGAAGTCTGTAGGACTTTGCTCATAGGACACTATGAGCAAAGAAAGGCTTCTTAACCCATTCTCCCATCTTTAAGTGGGCTAATAACAAGCAGGGAAGATCCTGGCTAGTACTTAGATGGGAGACCAACAGAAATATAGAAGAGGTTTCTGCAGCCCCCAGGATTGCCTTGGTTCTGAATTCTTCCTTGGGAATGGATGGAAGGGTGGGAAGCAAAGAAGAGGCATGAGCCGTTATCTAGGCAATGATTAGATAAACGGGGCTTGAGCTGATTCCAAGAAACTAACTTGAGAAAACACCTCAAGCAAGTCCCTCTCTAGTTCATTGGTAGTCAAAATGAGGGAGGAGGAATCACATTCAGGCTGGCAAGAGTCTGTTTCTACAGCTGATATGGTAAACATAGTCCTGACCTGTGTTTAAGACAACAACACTGTTGTTTTAATCTGGTTGACCTGGTTAGCCTGACAGATGGGTGCAGAAAGCTGACTGTACTCACCACCTTTCAAACCCCAAACCCAACAACCTCATCAAGAAAGCTATTCTCCCTTGGAAGAATTGTGTGCCATCAAACGGAAGGAGAAAGATCTAATGATAGATGGAAGAAATTTACAGGACTAGCTGCAATCCAGCCTCACTGTAACAGGTCAAAATGAATGCAAAGGAGCAGCTGTCTGCAAGGAGTATAAATCCTTCTATTTCCACCACCACCACCACCACCACCATCCAGTCAGAGCTAAAGAAGCTTCTTTGGATGAGAAGCGAAACGTCTTCGAAGAAAAACAAGGAAGTCCAGTTGCCTCGTGAAAAAGCACCTTTGGGATTCTTTTAGAGAGTCATTGAGGCCACTTGGAGGTTTAGGACTGTGTTGTAGACTACAGCTGCTGAAAGGACCGTGTTGTAGACTACAACACGGTCCTTTCAGCAGTTCCAAAAAGGTTCCACACCCATTTGCATCACTCAGGTGAATCTGAGGACACAGATAAAGTGTCCAAGTGGCCTCAATGACCCTCTAAAATAAGGCAAATGACCAGCTGTCTGCAAGGAATATAAATCCTTCCATTCCCCACCACCATCCAGTCAGAGCTGAAGAAGCTTCTTGGATGAGAAGCGAAACGTCTTCGAAGAAAAACAAGGAAGTCCAGTTGCCTCGTGAAAAAGCACCTTTGGGATTCTTTTAGAGAGTCATTGAGGCCACTTGGAGGTTTAGGACTGTGTTGTCAACTATAACTACTGAAAGGACTATGTTGTAGACGACAATACAGTCCTTTTAGCAGTTCCAAGAAGGTTCCACACCCATTTGCATCACTCGGGTGACTTTGAGGACACCGATAAAATGTCCAAGTGGCCTCAACGACTCTCTAAAAGAATGCAAATGACCAGCTGTCTGCAAGGAATATAAAACTTTCCATTCCCCACCATCCAGCCAGAGCTGAAGAAGCTTCTTGGATGAGAAGTGAAGCGTCATCAAAGAAGAAACAAGAAACTCCAGCTGCCTCCTGAAAAAAAAAGCACCTTTGGGACCACATATCCAAAATGTGCCCCCGTTTCTCCAGCCCCGGCTCTACACAGCCTTTTACAAAGCCACCCACCTGCTCGGTTAGGAAGGAAGGCTTATATGCTCCATCGGTAGATTTGTTCCCAGTGCCTCTCATGGACTTCATGTGAGACACTGCCATGCGTAGGATGGTCAGCTTGTCGGGTTTGCGCGCCAAGGCGCTGCAGGTGGGCACCATGTCAGAGAGCTCGGTGATGTACTGGGTCATCTTGTTCCTCCTGCGTCTCTCGATCTCACTATGGTTCTCCCTAAGCACACATGAGAAGGAGAAAACCGAGAGAGAAAGCGAGATGCTGTCGGTAAAAGATGCAGTGCTTGGAAATCGGTACAGCAGATCCAGGGCGGGCTCGAAAGGGGTGGCACTAGGGCCGAGCATCCCAAAGGCTTGAAATGCAAGGACCAGGGGAGGGGGGAGAGCCACTGTTAGTGGCTCTCGTTCAGATTTATAGGGTTGGGTAAGCTAGCAGACTAGATACACTTAGCTGGGAATAACAATAGCACTTAGACTTATATACCACTTCACAGTGCTTTACAGCCCTCTCTAAGTGAATCAGCCTATTGCCCCTAATACTCTGGGTCCTCATTTTACTGACCTCAGAAGGATGGAAGGCTGAGTCAACCAGGATCGAACTGCTGGCAGTCGGCAGAGTTAGCCTGCAATACTGCTTTCTAATCACTGCGCCATCATGGCTCTTATACAAGTAGTCCTCAACTTACAACCACAATTAAGCCGCAAATTTCTGTCGTTAAGGGAGACATTTCTTTAGTGAGTCTTGCCCCATTTTGCGAACTTTCCTTGCCACAGTTGTTAAGTCAATCTCCACAATTGATAAGTTGGAAACCCGATTGTTAAGTGAACCCGGCTTCTTCCCCATTGACTCTGCTTGTCAAAAGGTTGCAAAAGGGGATCACATGACCTTTGGGACACGGCCATAATCATACATATGAACCAGTGGCCAAGCATCTGAATTTTGATCACATGATCATGGGGATGCTGCAAAGGCCGTAAGTGTGAAAAACGGTCGCAAGTCATTTTTTTCAGTGCCGTTGTAACTTTGAACGGTCACTAAATGATGGCTGTAACTTGAGGACTACCTGTACCCAGTTGCACCCAACAATTCCTTGTTTCCCGATCTACACACGTAAGACTGCGCTGCAAATGAGTATCAGTCTATACCAGGGGTAGGCAACCTTGGCCCTTTTATGACTGGTGGACTTCAACTCCCAGAATTCCTCAGCCAGCATGGCTGAGCTTGGAAGCCTCTCCCTTTCCCCTCAGCATGGCTGGCTCAGGAATTCTGGGAGTTGAAGTCCACGAGTCATAAAAGAGCCAAGGTTGCCTACCCCTGATCTATACGGATGCTGGTTTATGGGTAGACAGAGTAGCCCAAGGGAATAGCTGGGAGAAACAAAAAAAAGTTGGGTGAAGTGGCTTTGCTTCTCAAGAGCTAAACAAGGTAAGAAAAATTAAAGCAATGATAAAATAATAATAAAAAAAAGGATTGGTCATTTTTACATCTAGCCCAGTGGTGGGCCAACCCTTCCCCCACCCAAAATTTATACTATCCTAGCTAGTCTCACCCATTCCACTGCAAAGAACGTGGACTTTCAACGTCAGCTTCCACTTTGGACAGTGGGTGTCCAATGTTCATCACGAGGGGCTCATGGGTGCTAAAAGAGGAGGGTCTTTCTCTGAAGGTATCAAGTCTACCAGATTTTCTGCTCCCCCAAATCCCTGCTAATTTCAGCCACCAATCCTGCCATTTGGGTGGGAAACAATATTTTGCATTTCTTGTCTAGAGGCACTGATGTTCCCAGCCAAGGTCATCTCTTGGGGTTCCCCCCCTTGCTTAGAAAATAAGGGCACATCACCCTGGTTTTAACAGGCACAAGAACACACATGGAACCCCCCTGTCCGCAAAACCTGAAGTTGCAATGGAGGAAGCAGATCCACACTCCGATTTCGTGGCCCGGGCAGATCTTCCTCCTTCACTGAAAATGAAACAGGTAGGTCTTGCCAAGCCGGGGAATTTCATGTATGGAATGAAATACATAGGAGACTTTGCACCAGAGTGATCAATTTGCATCTTGAGGAAGGCAAGCAATTAGGAGCAGCAAAATTCCAAAACTGGAAGGAAAGCTTGGAGAACAAGGAAAATGGAACCATTCCCCCAGTTTCTGAACAAAACTTAGTAGAATGTTTAGTCAGTTTCTCAGCAAACTCTTATGTGGTTTAGGAAGCACCATGTTACCATCCAACCAGAACAATAGTAACAATGGCCCTCTAGGCGACCCAGATTCTGCTCCACGAATAGAATTCTGCAACTTGCATAAATGGGTGTTTGAATTAATTCATTAACATTTCATTCCAGTATTACTTATACAAGAGCGAAGTGAAGATTACCCATTCTACCTTTGTACATACTATATATAAACTTCCAAGCCTTTTTGCACAAGCAGTAAATCTGGATACTTTTTACAAGGGGTGGGGGGATTGGACTGGGGAAAATCCTTGGCAAGTTCATTTGTATTGTTAGTTGCATATTCTGCATTTCTCCTGTAGCTTCACTGAACACAGCCCCTAGAATGTAGGTTGTTTAAATATATCTGTTTTCTCTCTCAACACAACCATCTTCTAAAACAGACAGAGAATTTGCATACCTAAAGCCAACTCCTCATTTCCTCCACTGAAGCATGGAAGATAATTGGAAATAAGGAGGGAAGGAACAGGGAAATGTGATCTGGACATATTCAGAGTGGCCAGAGGCAGGAAGCGGAGTGGTGTTCTGCCCCCCAAAAATGTTGGCACGAGGCAACAGATTAGTATAGAAAATGATAACTTGTCTGTTTTCAGATAGACTCGCCTGCTTTTCACCAAGGGCCTGGCTCCTCAATCGGTCATCCGAAAGTAACTGTCTTAAACTCCATGTTCTAACCTGATTCTATTTTATCGAGATAGGTCTATTCTCAGGTAGCTAGCTTGGAACCCAGCTTGGAGCAAAGGCAGTGCATGGCTTTTAGGAAATAGCTCAGGCCAGTGGTGGTGAACCTATGGCACGTGTGCCAGAGGCGGCACTCAGAGCCCTCTCTGTTGGCACGCGTGCCACCGCCACCAACAGCAGGTCCATCAGGCCACCACCACCGCCCGGAGCAGGAGCCCCGCCCAGTACAAAGAAGGCGAAGCAGCCGACTAGCAAGCTCGAGTAGAGGTGATAAAGCAGAGGTCACCAACCATTGTCAATTGGTGGACTGGCGGAAAAGGGAGGGGGAAGTATTTTACATGCGTGTGTGCACACATGGGGCCACGAGCATGTACACACTGCAAATAGAACGGGCTAGTGCCTGCATGATACTAGCCCTGCTCCATTCTTGCGTGGTGCAGCGCCCTGTATCTGCACGCCACGGTGCGGCAGTGGCCGTTTTTGCGCCTTGCTGCACGCTGGTCCATTTTTGCGCCCCTGGGTTTTGCATGGCAGAGGCAGCACTCAGAGGCGCCCCCCTCCCCCCCCAGGGGCACCACAATGCTGATGCAGCCCTGGCACTTTGCGATAAATAAGTGGGGTTTGGGTTGCGGTTTGGGCACGTGGTCTCTAAAAGGTTCGCCATCACTGGCTCAGGCTGTGTTGCCTCAGGTTCTATTCAGGACCACATCCAGAGGAGAAGAAGAAGAAAGATAGAGAATAAATGGAGACTAGAAAGAATATTTCTAGGAAACGGTAGAATGCAGTAGAAAGCAATCTCCCCCAAGGCAGATGTCTTGTAACAGCAGCTATGAGACGCTCCTAAAATTCCAAATTACTCACCAACTCCCAAGACTGGGGATTCCTGACACAGAGTTTATGACTTATACAACGGATTCCATCTATGGAGGTATATGTGGATGAGAGAAAGCGATGGCGTCCCCTGAATGTGTGAATGCACATGAGAAACACCCATGCATTTTCCGTGACCCATTTGCCACACACCACCACTTGCCTGCTCCCATTGTATCCAAATATTCAACAACACCTCAAGGGCAACGAAGTCAGACCATAAAGCCATCCTGATACATCGCCTCTCACGTCAACCATAGCACGGGCTTCCGAGAAACCACTGAGCTACTTCTAAGAAGAGCCAGGGAGGACGGTGGAGCCAAACCAGTAGACAAGAAGCTATGCTACAATATGTCTAATGAAGATTCTCAGTTATCCAGGTCATAGTTGTATCAAAAGTGGTTTTTATTTTGAAAAGGCCACTGGACTGATTTTTTTTTTTTTTGAGGAAAAACAAGATGTTGCGCTTCCCACCATAGAAGCTTCCAGGATAGGAAGTGAAACGTCTTGTGCAGTGGTCTTCAAATTTGGCCCTTTTATGACTTGTGGACTTCAACTCCCAGAATTCCTCAGCCAGCGTGCACGCTGGCTGAGGAATTCTGGGAGTTGAAGTCCACAAGTCATAAAAGGGCCAAGTTTGAAGACCCCTGGTCTTGTGTTTCCTCAAAAGAATCCATCCAGTTGCCTTTTCAAAATAACAACCACTTTTGATACTATGCTGTGATAATTTTAGTTCTCCTTCAAGTGAAGACTAACACCAAGCCCTCCCAAGACATTTTATGGAGTCTCCCCAAAACTTAAATCCATTGATCAATGAAGATCTCTATCATGTCTTTTCCCAATGTTTCTGCTTCAAGATACTAAGCAGGTAAGATCAAGCTTCTCTGTAGCAACTCCTGGTTGCAGAGTTCCTTCCCCAAATGAGTCTGTGCAGCACCAACTACAACAGCTTCCTCCCAACTAACTAAACCTGTTCCTGTTCACTCAAACCTAATTAATTTACTGACAGGCCCTGTTTGTATTAAGTGGCTGGGGTCATGCATCACTGCCAATAAGATGATGGTTTAAGACAGGGGTAGGCAACCTTGGTTGTTTTATGACTGGTGGACTTCAACTCCCAGAATTCCTGAGCCAGCATGGCTGGCTCAGGAATTCTGGGAGTTGAAGTCCACGAGTCATAAAAGAGCCAAGGTTGCCTACCCCTGGTTTAGGACAATGTGTAAATTCAATGCCAATCTGCTCTGTAGTCTTTCCCAACTAGTCAATTCATTTTCAATTTTTTTTTTTTACTGCAACAGACAGAGGACACTGCTGTACAATAAGTCCACGTCTTTCTTCTTCCAAACTGGTTTGAGATGGTTCCTGCTATCTGCTTCTCTAAAAGAAAGGGAGATGCCAACAACCTTCTGCAGCAAATTAAGTTACGTCTCTTCTTTTGAAAATGTAGACCACTTTGAAAGTTGCTCTGCTGCAGAAAGATGATGACCACCGAGCTCCATCAGTCTTTTGGGGTTGCATTCACACAACATACTAAAGCTAGTCAACACCTATCAAATAGGTTCTGACAACAAGCAAGGTTCATTTTTTTTCTGGCTTAGTGTTTTCTACCAACTCAAGTTAATTTGTTTGGGTTATGATTCAGCACAAAAAAAGGTTAATTCAATCATCAAACTAAGTGGGCTGTGTGAATTCAACCTAGTATGTGTATATGGATGGGAAGGAGTATCTCCAATCCTGGGTCTGAATTGCATTTAATTTTCATCTGAATCAAGTCCAACGAGTTAGTGGGATGTTCCATCTTTTCTATTCATTTCACAGTAATCCACTTCCAAGGGATGTACTTGCCTCTATAACAAGGACACTTTGCTTTGATTTTACAACATATTTACAAGACTGCTCCTTCCGGATGGTACATCCCATCTCACCATTCTTTTCTGGATCAACCATTACTTTGACCACCCAAAGAGAAAAATAACTCCTTAGACTGAAATACAAAAGGCTGGGTGGATTTAGTATTCTTTTTTATTTTAGGATTATCCCTTCCCTTTTTTTTCCAACGCCTACCTTGCATATTTTTCCTTATCAACAGAGATTTGATCATCATACCTGCAAAGGAAAAAAAAAAGAAAACATAACCAAACACTGGTTAATAAGAAGGGAAAAAAACATAACTGAAAGTATGGGCAAACACCTTATAAATTCCCAGCCAGTTGGGATAGGCATCAAGGTAGCCTCCAAAGGTTGTGGGCATCAATTCCAACCAACTTAAACCACATGACCAATAGCAAAAGTGTTGGCAAAGTAATATACAAACCATCTGGAGAGCATCAAGTTTCCTATATTTCCTATATTTGCTTGAGGTTGCTAAATCCGCAAGGTTCATCTATTTTTCCCTGTCTGGCTTCACCCAGACTATTATTCAAATTTGAAAGCCAGAAGATAAAAACTGAAGGTCAAAGCTCTTTGGATCAGCTAATTTTATTGCAGATACTAAAAAAAAAGCCATCATTAGAGCAGAAAACCAGCAAATGCCAGTTTTAAGTCTCATGCCACTGGTACAACAATCCAGAGGTGCAAACTCATTTCTCTGGGTACCCCAACAGACTGAAAGAGGCCATTTCTCAGTGAGAATGACAGCTAAGTCATTATAACTGCCTAGTTATAATAATGGGCCTGTCTGTCTTAGGCTCTTCTGTCTGGCTTTGGGCCTTCTAGACCTCAAAAGCCCTCTCCTCTATCGCAGCATCAAGGACACCAAAAGCTCTTGCTCCCTATTTTAAACTAAGAACAGCTTTCTTCCATTTTAACTTGGAGCGCTCCAGCTCATTTAAACCAGAGATGTGTATTTTTGTTTTGTTTTGTTTTTCAAGCCAACAGACAAACTTGGTTTTCAGTAGTATTCTAGGGACTGCATTCCAAAGACTGGGTAGGGCAAGGACAAAAAAAACAAAAACAAAAAAAAATTTGCAGTTTATTAAAATTAATGAACTACAAATGTATACCACTCTCTCCGCGGATTTCAATCGCTTCCCCCTTTGGACGAAGCCAAGATTACAATTCTCTTGTCTTTTCTCTTTTGCTCGCTTTAGGCAGCGGCCTTTGGCCGATCGCTGAATGGGAAATAAAATTGAAAAGAACACAAGGCCGCTTTGGGCGGCAGCTGAAGAGACTCTAAAGCCAAGGTTTTAGACGGCCACGTACATCCCTGTGGCCGCAGATTGTGCACGCTAATTGAAATGGGTCACCAGCGAGTTAGAATTACACAGCAGGGTGTGAACCCCTCACTGGAATGAACTTTAATTGGGGTGTTGCTGTCTCTGGAGGGCATGGGAGATGGTGGCGGGTTGAAAAGTTGCAGTGCTTTAAGCTTGCAGCGGTACCAGGAAAAGGAGAGGAAAGTCGAAAAGACAACAGCAACAATATTTGTCTTGGCTCAAACGTTAAGAGCTGTCTCTTCACCCAGACTTTGGGCGAGGGCGATTGAGACATTCCGCTTCATTCCATCTGGTCTGTTGTGATTGCTATCTTGCATCTTCTCCTGATTTTATTTCATTTCTTTGATGGTTGTGAGCCAGCCAGAGTTGTTGGGAGTGAGGTGGCACACAAGCGTCAACAGCAGCAAACGAAGGTTCACCCGTTCCATCTCAGCAGGTTGAGTAAAGGTAATCCTCACACTATGATCCAATTGGGATCAGGATTTCTGTCGCTAAGCAAGGCAGTTGCTAAGGGAGTTGCGCCCAATTCTATAACCATTTTTGCCATGGCGGTTAGGCGAATCACTGCAGTCAAATGAGTCCTGCGGTCGTTAAGCAAATTCAGCTTCCCTCATTGACTTTACTTGTGGGAAGTTGGCTGGGAAGATTGTAAATGATAATTGCTGGAATTGGGGGTGTCTAGTTTAATGAAGAGAAGGACCAGGGGGGACATGATAGCAGTGTTCCAATATCTCAGGGGTTTCCCCCAAAGAAGAGGGAGTCAAGCTATTCTCCAAAGCGCCCGAAGGCAGGACACGAAGCAACGGATGGAGACTAACCAAAGAGAGAAGCAACCTAGAACTAAGGAGAAACTTCCTGATGCTGAGAACAATTAACCAGTGGAACAGTTTCCCTTCAGAAGTTGTGGGTGCTCCATCACTGGAGGCTTTTAAGAAGAGACTGGACAGAAATCGTATAGGGTTTCCTACCTGAGCAGGGGGTTGGACTAGAAGACCTCCAAGGTCCCTTCCAACTCTGTTATTCTATTCTATTCTGTTCTGTTCTGCTCTGCTCTATTCTATCTATTCTACTCTATTATTCCACTTCTGTTCTATTCTATTCTGTTATGTTCTGCTCTATTCTACTCTATTATTCTACTTGTATTCTATTCTTTTCTATTCTGTTCTGTTCTGCTCTGCTCTATTCTATCTATTCTACTCTATTGTTCTATTTCTATTCTATTTTATTCTGCTCTGCTCTGCTCTGTTCTATTCTATCTATTCTACTCTACTATTCTACTTCTATTCTATTTTATTCTGCTCTATTCTATCTATTCTACTCTACTATTCTACTTCTATTCTATTTTATTCTGCTCTATTCTATCTATTCTACTCTATTATTCTATTCTATTTTATTCTGCTCTGCTCTGCTCTATTCTATTCTACTCTACTATTCTACTTCTGTTCTGTTCTGTTCCGTTCTGCTCTGCTCTATTCTAATCAATGACCCCAGGACAGTGCAAACATCATAAATACATGCCAGATACCAAGTGCCCAAATTTTGATCACGTGATCCTGGGGATGCTGCAATGGTCATAAGGGCAAGGATAGATCATAAGTCACTTTGTTCCGTGTCTTTGTAACTTTCTGATGGTCATAAATAAATGGTCATAAATTGAGAATTACTTGCATGCACTGTTTTAGTTAACCCTCTTTGTGCCGAAGTATAAAGAATCACAGAATGAATGAGTTAGAAGGGACTTCCAATCTAGGCCAATCTCTGTCTCACTGCAGGAAGTCCCTAAACCAATCCAGGCCAATGGCCTCGCGGACCCTCATTTAGTGGAGCAAACTGTCTGGGGAAGCTTCCTCTTTCAAAATGGTTTTAAAAGCTGCATTTGGATTCCAGGAACGAGGAATGCAAAGCCTTGAATTCGAAAACCCAGAGAAGTTGTTTTCATCGCACCTACAATATGTCAGACGGATGGGAAGGAGCTCCGAGGAACGCAAGCGTATAAATGCTGCTTTGTCATTCCGTTATTTTTTGAAGCCGAGCTCCTGGCCCAGATTGCACAAGGACAGAACAATAAAGCAGCAGTAAAAAAAAAAGGTTAGGGAGTTTGTCCCAGTGCAAGGCAGAAGGATGGAAGTCACTCTGATTCATTTCCAAGACGGGCACAATATACCGCAGGATTGCGATTTGCTCACCGATAGGAAAATTATTCTTGTATTCAGTCCATTTCATCTGGATAGTTCTACCACTTTTGCAGCTGAGAGTACAAATTCTCTAAGAAGGAAACAGGGTTGCAGATAAATCCAGCTACAATATTTGTAGCTCAGGGTTGAAATGAAGGGTCCTTGGTGCTCGCTGAACTTGGCTGTTTTCTTGCAGACGTTTCATTACCCAAACTAGGTAACATCATCAGTGCTCTTCTACAGATAGCTAGACTGATGAATTACTTACTTTGGGTAATGAAACGTCTGCAAGAAAACAAGCAAGCTCAGAAAGCACTAAGGACCCCTCGAGTCCAGCACAACTACCAGTAACTTCACAGAAATATTGTTGTGCATTGGTTCACACCAATACCCCAAATAGTTTGCTATTGGTGTTTTCTGAAATTCCCTGACACCTCTTTCTTCAAATCCTACTCAGTGCAATCGGCTGATCAGCTAAAGAAAATGCCTCTGGTTAATAAAGCAGCACATACATAGGTGTGTGTATGTGTGTGTGTGTGTGTGTGTGTGTGTGTGTGTGTGTGCATGCACATATACATGTGCTCACACAGACCCACTCCAAAAATATTTAGTTTGTCAGAGTTGTAAGTGGCACACCTGCTTTTCTTTTTTTACATTTTGTTCCGTGCTGTTTAATATTAAACGCATGCAAATTAATGCACATCTGCTGAGATCACGTGGGTTTCCTTGTGGCAATAGCACTACTAAATGTGCAGAATGTGTCCCCCTCATCCATTTAAATTCCTCGATGGAGCCTTTTTTAAAAACAAAACAAAACTCACCTTGAAAATTTGCTGGGTCCTTCACCATCTTCATCGTCAAATTCCATTCTGAGGGAGAAAGAAAGAGTATTATTACAATTATATCTCCATACCTGGAAGAGTCTGCATGGATTAAGGAAAGATGAGGTGAATTATGCATTATTTCTCACCGGGCCTCCCCTTCTGCCTTTCTCCGCTCATTATCGATGCTTACTTTCGTTTCAGTTCTTACTTTATGTTAAGAGTTCACGAACAGTCTTGTCCCTTCTCTTTTTGGAGTGAATCTAAAACAACCAAAATGGGGTGTTTGCAGTTCTCCAATATTCTGGATTCCAAATCCCATCAGGCTCAGCCTTCCTGGTCAACAGCGGGGATGACTTCCATAAAGCCATTGTCTTGCCTTCATGTCTCCTCTCCATGCTATGGATTCTTTGTCCTTAGCGCTGCCCAAAAGTAGAATTGTGGGTCACCTTGAACTTCCACTGGTTTCCTTTCCACCCAGCTGACCATTTAAAAGCAAGCCAGAAGTCAGGTGTTTTTGTCCTGGTGAAGTTATCTGTTAATTTGGCTATTCTTGCTTTGCGTGTGTTACAGCCAGATGGTCTTCAAAGCCTGCCCAAGTTCTTCACCCATTACTTTCCTTGTCACCTGGTCAAAAAAATTCTATTTCTTCGAGTTCCCGTCTTAACTTCCTTTGCAAGCAAAACTCCACCACCACCATCACTGCTGCCCTCATAATATTGCCCTATTTTTTGGTCACTTTCTTTGAGTTCTGAAGTTTGACAAGAATGTTTGAGGTTTTGCTCAAAAACAGGTACTTTGCAAGAGCCACCACATATCTCGCTCCTGAGATTAACATCCCAAACCTACATTTAAGAGGTAAGAGAAAAGTCAGGGTGCGCTATGTTCTCAATTAAATTTTAATTTTGGTTAAATTATGACCCCCTTTTCTAATTCCATCATTATATATTTCTGAGCAACGGCCGCAGGGAGAATGGCATTGAAATTAAGCTGTTCTTCCAGATCTTAATTTGTTGATGTTTTGATGGTCACTGAGTGGTGGAGGAACAGTGACCTCCAGTGGCCACTTGGCTAGCTAATCAAATGAATAGGACTCACTGTCCACTTACTAATGGATCTGTGTCTTCCACAAAGAGTAGAAATACTTGGAAATGCATTTTTCCCTCCCTGGATTTTGTGAACATCTTGCTTGATTGAATGGTTTAGAGAGCTCAAAAGTGATTAACTGTTTTGTAAACATTTCAAATGGCTTTTTAAGAAAAGGTCTTACAGCAGTATAGATTTTGAATTTTCCTCAAACCGCTTATCTTTTTCCATCTGCATTGAACTCCTCTGTAGAGCAGTATATAAATTTGAAACTCAACCAAGGTTAAGCTTTCTATCTTTTACAAATATATCCCCCCCAACCATTTACCATGCACAATATTTCATTCAGATGGATGCTTGGCTTGCTCGCAGTCCTTCAGAAAGACCGTTTCTTCCACCGTGACATTTCACCGCACGTTATTTATTTGACGCAAGTGAAAAAGGGGGGGGGGAATCCATACATCAAGAAATATGACTGCATCTAACTTTAGCTTTCAGTCGAAAACACAAGGTGGAAACTATTAATTCAGGAGTAGAAAACCTTTTTGTGCTTAGTGGCTGAAAATCGTTTTAGAGGGGATGAAAAAGCTTCACGGCACAGTTTTTTCTTTCCCAATGTTGTACCAGATTGATTCTGGCCATTGTCGGCATCCCTCTTAATAAATTATGACACCTTTCATTCATCTTCTTTGGGATCGTAATATTTACGGCTTTACTTCATATTTTATTTTCAGACATTTCTGAATAGGTTGGTCTATTTCTAATAGACTGGAAATATACATACATACATACATACATACATACATACATACATACATACAGTGCTTTTTTTGTAAAAAAAAAAAAAAAAAAAAGGTGCCAGAACTCACACATATCATACAACCCACCTTGCCTGCCCTACAAGGTTCCATCCAAAAAAGGTGCCGGAACTCCGTTCTGGGCATTCTATGACAAAAAAAGCCCTGCATACATACATACATATTCAAAATTTTGTGGCTGACAAAGAGTTAAAGAGAGACTAGTATAGCTATTTCAAGCTCTTTAGCTCTCATCAGCCAGTCATACCCCTCTGGGATTCGAACCTGGGCAGCTTGCATGTTAGGCAGCTGTATTAACATCTGCCTGCAAAAAATCCTCCTAGATTGGAGCGAAACACAGAACAGACTGATTTATCCTATATTTGGTAGACCGGGTGCTTCATCCAACATATATATATATGTTGGATCCAAGATTGGAGCGCAACGCAGAACAGACTGATTTATATTTGGTAGACCGGGTGCTCCACCCAACAGATATGTTGGAGATATATCTTATATAGGTCTTTAGTTATATATATATATACACACACACACCCCTAGGATAACACATTCCATCACTGTCCTGGCATTTCCAACATTTATTGGTGCATGATTTATCCATCTCGCAATACCCACCTCTTATTTTCCTTCCAAGCGTTAGAAAAATCCATCAGGGAAGATAGATTCAAAGAGAAGAGCAGCATACTAGTGAAAAAGAAAAAGGATCCCTCCCTCTTAAATCTTTTTCTTTCATTCATTTGCCATCCTAAATAAATGTTTTTTGTGCAAAGCTTGCAGCCGTTTAGCATGTATCTGTGTTTAGGGAGTGTGTGCGTTTGTGTGTGTTTTCATGAGACGGAGGGAGGGAGGAGGAGAAGGAGAAGAAGATGCAGAAGAAGCAGAAGGAGGAGGAGGAAGAGGGGGAAGGAGAAGAGAAAGAAGAGGAAGGAGAGAGAGAGAGAGAGAGAGAGAGAGAGAGAGAGAGAGAGAGAGAGAGAGAGAGAGAGAGAGAGAGAGAGAGAGAGAGAGAGAGGACTCCATCTTGAAAATAACTTGTCCGTCCATTCAACATTATTTTGAAAAAGTGATGCCTACTTACCCAGAACGCCTCTTTCCACCTCTGGCAGGCACAGTTCCTGCCATTCTTACTTGACCAGTGGCCATGGGTGCCACTGGCAGTGTCACTGATCCTGGTATGTCCGATGCCATTTCTGTAACACAGAACACAAAGCATCAGCTGAAGTTGGTAGACAAATGGAGTGAAGGTCGGGTGGCATATCTGAGATTTTGACAGATTGTGTTGAGCTCATTCACAAAATGGTTTCCATGGGAGACTTCCCTATCTTCAACACGCCCTCCTCTCAGCTTGATCTATTCTCTATTCTCTCCCACCTGTCCAGAAGTGGTCCAACAAATATGTCTTTTTTCCCCTCCTCCTTGGGACTGCACCTTCGTTCAAATGGAATTCATAAGAAATGTCAAGAACCTCTGGGAAGAAGCATCGCTAGATTGGTATTCTGCTCAGAACTGTCATCGCAGACCCGCTTATCTCAACAGCAGCCCGTGATTCAGCAGGGAACAAACATCTTGCATACTGATCGATTTATTTGCAGGGGGGAAAAAACATCATCTTCTATGTTAAATATTTGAAGTCTGCAAGAAAGGCAGAAATTGGGATGGAAGAGAGCTTTTTGATGCATGATAGGCTGATATATACAAGTTCAGGGGTAGGCAACCTTGGCTCTTTTATGACTCGTGGACTTCAACTCCCAGAATTCCTGAGCCAGCCATGCTGAGGGGAAAGGGAGAGGTTTCCATGCTGAGCCATGCTGGCTCAGGGATTCTGGGAGTTGAAGTCCACGAGTCATAAAAGAGCCAAGGTCCTTCAGTCACAAAAGCTGGCCATCCCCAGCTCTGCTGTCTTTGGAGCATGAGTGTAAGGCACGGGTGTCAAACTCGATTGCGTCACATGACATATTGTGATGTACAGTGCTTTTTTTGGAGAGAAAAAAAAGGTGCCAGAACTCACACACGTCATACAACCCGCCTTGCCTACCCTACAAGGTTCCATCCCAAAAAGGTGCCGGAACTCCGTTCTGGGCGTTCTATGACAAAAAAAGCCCTGGTGATGTATAGCAGCATTCTTTTGCCTTTGCGGCGCTGAGATGGCCGTGGCCTGCGCATGATGCATCCAGCCCACGGGCCACCAGTTTGACACCCCTGGCCTAAGGGATGCTTTGTAGGGGTCCAGAAAAGACAGAGCACAGCCAGTTGATTAAAAAAAAAAAAAAACCACTCAGGTTTTGCTTCCAGGGAGCTGCTGTCTTTGTTCTTTATTACTCCAGGCAGAATTTGTCATAAAAGTTCCTATTACAACTGCCATCTAAGTCATGACAGCTTGTCAGATCAGTAACAGGAGCATTAAATTGGCCAATTAAATCTGTACGGTGTGGTGCACGACAAAGAAGAAGTAAAAGGACGGTGTTTTCTTTGTGATCCAAAATGCAACCTATCTGAACCTTTGTGTGAAGCTGCCTTGACACCGTATCAGCTCCCTGCTCTTTAGGGTACAAAATCATACCAACCACCAGCCTCTCCCATTAACAGCAACCTGATGGCTTTTACTGGAAATACCAAAACTTGGAGTTTCCCATTCCGCAAAACTACGGAATTTCCATGCCATTCACTTAGAGCAGTGGTGGCGAACCTATGGCACGGGTGCCAGAGGCGGCACTCAGAGCCCTCTCTGTGGGCACACGCGCCGTCGCCCCAGTCCTAGGCCTTCAGCTGGGTTGTATAAAACCTTTTCGCTTTAAGCCTCCGCTGTCGTGTGCAAAAAAAAAAAAAAAGGTTTAATCAATCAGTCAATTTCAACTTCTCGCGGGAAAAAAAAGATCTTGCAAAGTTGGAATTGATTGATTGAACTTTTTAGTCCCACCCAGTCTGCCGTTACCACCGCAGCCACGCCCACCCAATGGGCCACGCCTACCCGGCACTCGACGATGCATAAGTGGGTTTTGGGTTGCAGTTTGTGCACTCAGTCTCTAAAAGGTTCGCCATCACTGACTTAGAGTTACACTGCCCTGTCTTGTAATCTCCTGGAAAATATTCTGGGTTTTGCTCACAAGAGATTCTTTTCATTCTAAAAGGGAATATCTGCACATTAAAAAAAAAAAATCCAACAGGCAAGCTGAATGCTTACCTACAGACCTCTCCCTTCTTCCCCAACCGCTGGTTTCTCATGCTGAAACAAAAGGCTGCAACTAACCAGCCTTTTCACATGTAAAACAAGAGCAAAGCATAAACTTCAGGATGACTGACAGATCTGGCAGCTGTATTCTTCTGACTCCTACTCAGCTAAAGAACCCAGGATAATGGCATCCCAAAGAGCTCAGACATTGTCAAATAAGCCACTTCACTAGAGAGTTGTGTATAAATGCCCTATACCTCACGTCTAGAAAGAGGAGGCGGCCGAAAGATTCCAAAACATGTAGAGAACATGGTCTCACTGTTCATTTGTTTCCTGAATTTGCCAGTAAAACTTGATTCTGTGTGATTCAGCTCTAAGCGATTCTTCTTCGTCCTGATCTATAACCAGTGGGCTCTTAGATAAGATTACTTTATTAAGATTATTTATTATTTTATTAGTCAACCCAACTAGGTAGACAAGACTTAAGAGACATATAGTTCACTTAAACACTAATAAGCTTGTTTGGTTTTGACCTTTGTTCTTTTGGGGTGGGGGGGAGTTAACAGATAGTTTGAAGCCAGATCGCCTAACATAACTCATTATAGTGCAATCCAGTATCTCAGGGGCTGCCCCAAAGAAGAGGGAGTCAAGCTATTTTCCAAGGCGCCTGAAGGCAGGACAAGAAGCAACGGATGGAAACTAATCAAGGAGAGGAGCAACCTGGAACTCAGGAGAAATTTCCTGACAGTTAGAACAATTAACCAGTGGAACCACCTGCCTCCAGAAGCGGTGAATGCACCCTGGAAGTTTTTAAGAAGAGACTGGACAGCCATTTGTCTGAAATGGTATAGGGTTTCCTGCCTGAGCAGGGGGTTGGACTAGAAGACCTCCAGGGTCCCTTCCAACTCTATTATTATTGTTGTTGTTGTTGTTGTTGTTGTTGTTGTTGTTGTTGTTGTTGTTGTTGTTGCGTATAGTGCAAAAATGAATGGGTTGTATGACTCCAATCCCTCAGTCAGTGTTTGAGGCAAGAGGCTAATCAACATTGAGATTGTGTTCTGTTTCATTTTTTGTAATCTTTCTTTCTCATTCTCCTCTTCCTTGACATGAGGTGTAGGGCATCGTCTAACTTTCTATCTTATTCTCATTTAATTTAGGAGCACAGATACATGTTGATCAATGTAGTTTGATTGTGGTATATACCACACTTTTTCTTATCTTTCTCACTGGAACATCACGTTCTACACACGTCAACCGCACAAGATACCACAAGGAGACTAAGAGTTATAAAACTATAATAGTAACAATAACAGACAAGAGGCCACAAGGATCTGACTGACGTATAAAGAAATGTTGGCCCTTCCTGAAAAGACAATGCACCAAATGTTTGTAACAACGCTCAGGGTGTTAAGCAAGGGGGCTGGACTAGAAGATCTCCAAGGTCCCTTCCAGCTCTATTACCTCCCATTTCACCATCTATGTCATTTTCCATCATTTGGGTAATTATGCAGTTGACATAATGGATGTCAATTATATTACACAATAGCCATTCTGTGCCATAAGGGGACACAAAAGCCATAAGAACCTTGATTATGTAATTATAATAATGACTGGCATTGATGCAAATTATATAAATTACACCAACGATCCAGATTGTTGAGGGGGGATTAAGTTTATACTACGTTTTGACCATTGAAAACCAAGGCAATTGCAAGGCTGTCTGGAAAATGGAAGTTTTGTGCTGTTTTTAGTTCAAAACATTTTAAGGGTCAACCAGCCCTTTGTTTAAGAGACCACACTTCTCCCATTTTGCATCACACCCACAAAGTTCAACCAGGCAGAACTAGACTCATCCTGCTGTGCTGAAGCCCATAAAAATGTAGTTTGGACCAGCACCTCAAAATGACTCTGAAAAATACATTTAACCAAACTGGCTAGAGCAGTGGTTCTCAACCTTTTTAATGCCGCGACCCCAACCGGTCATAAGTCGAGGACTAAACCGGTCGTAAGTCGAGGACTAAACCGGTCGTAAGTCGAGGACTAAACCGGTTGTAAGTCGAGGACTACCCAACCGGTCGTAAGTCGAAGACTTTCCCTGCCCGGGAGCGCCGCACATGCGTGGTTCCGCCCCCTGCGCCGGCCGAGGCGTAGCTGGCAAGCGGCAGAGACGGAGCAGGCCGACCACCAGCTGGCCCAGCCCAAGGGAGGTAAGGCACCCGCCGGAAAAGGGGAAAAAAATGGCGGACAGCCTTGCTTGGCGACCCCCATGAAATGGTCGATCGACCCCAAATGGGGTCCCAACCCACAGGTTGAGAACCACTGGGCTAGAGAGTCTTGAAGTTCCTTCCCAAGTTCCATCTCTACCTCCAGCTCAGTCACTTCACAAGCATAATTTTATGTGAAGCCAGTTCTGCTGAGTATTGATATTTCTGGAATCGATAAACTCATAGCTGGGATGGAAGAAATGCCAAGCAGTGAGTAAATGGTCAAATGCGAGCAGCAAATTAAAAAGAAAAACAGCTTAGAAGATTTAATTAAGAGCATTTAAGGGAAGCAGGCGGTTAAGTAGGTTACCAATTCAGGCCTTAAGGAAGAACTATGATCCCCAGTAAACCTTTCAAAGTACCTACTAATACTTGAACTTTTCCTTTCTCTGCAGGTTTAATGGGACGTGCCGGGTTCCTGTGAATTTTGCACATCCATATTGTCAGGTCTCATATTTTGCAAAGCCTTGAAGATTCGCCCATGAACCAGATTCTTTCATTATTTATGATACTATCGGCATATATTAAGGATTGCTCTGCTGGACCAATCCAGTCTCCATCTGGTTGAGCATTCTGCTGTTGACAATTGGACACTTTGGGGAAATTAAGGTGCAACACAATGACATTAATAGCAAGTTCTTCTCTGTTGTGCTTCTTCCCCCCCCCCCCGTACCCAATACAATTCCCCACTTCTGGCCCAAGCAAGAAGAGAGAAACAAGGCAACAAGAAATGACATCAAAACAACTGTACACAA